GACAAACCATCTACACAAGAACACACAAGCTAAATCGGGCTATTTTGTCAACCAAGTTTGAACATGGGGGAGGAAATTATTTATTGATTAGCAATCAAGGTAAAATGTCCCCTGTCTTAGTCAATCTGAGTTAAAAAAAAAACAACCTTTACTCCTCTGGAGAGTAGGATGTGTTCAGTAGAGGTTGGTGGCTCTCTTATGGGTCTGTGCTTAGTTTTGAAATCATGACAGCAAAGGTGACTCAGCAAAACGCTTCCTGCTGAGCCATAGTAATGTGGACAGAAAATGAGGCGGGGGAAGCAGCTTTATACTCATCCCTTAATGACTCCGAATATTGGAGCCCGTGGATGCAGCTAATAGAAATGCAATAATCCCCCAAACATGCCAGAAGAGTGCTCGAATCAAGGATTGCAGCACTGCGAGAAGAGTGCTCGAATTGAGGATTGCAGCACTGCGAGAAGAGTTACCATCCGGTTCTTTATTGTGAGACTGTTACTTTATGTAGCGATGTCATCCATACTGATGAGTCAGTGTCTACAATTCATTTTTTTAAAATTCCTGTTGGCGAGGCTAACAGATGACGGCATCTTTGTAATCAGTGACCGCGCCGTTTTTGTTTTAAAGTGTCGCAAATGGAGTTATCAAGCTTCCTCCTCATCCCGTTTAGTCATTTTTGATCACTGTTATCACCATGGATCGTGGTTGGACTGGACGGTTAACTCCATCTCCGATAATCAAGACAGCCACCGACCCCGTTTCCTCCGTTGTCCCCGCGCTCCGAACCTGGTCTCATTAGTGGCGGAGAGAATTGCTTACTATAAATATTGGCTCTCTGAGGACTGAGACGCCACATCTTAGCCCACATCATGCTGTGTTGAGACTTTAGCCGGTGAGATAATGTAACCCTAATACTCTAATAGCCCTACGGTGCGTCTGTAACACGAGCAAAAGCTGAGGTAGTAAAACTCGCAAGTCGTCATTTCTCTGATATTTTATAATATCCAGATTGAAAGTAAACTGTCCTGATCCACAGATTTCCCAAGAGGCCTTTAAAATGCGACTTAGGTACAGATTACAAAAATTGATTTTGGGCCCGTCTGAAGTGGGGCAGACACATTAATTCAGTAACCATGCCCAAAAAACATGTTTATTATTAATTATTCAGAAGGTGGATTGATATCTTGTTGGACGGCATAGGTCGAGCTATCTGTTTTTCAGATAAAGCAGCTCTATGTTTTTTT